CCCCACTCCCCTCCCCTTCCCCCTCCCCCTCCCCTCCCCTTTCGCTGGGGCCATTGCAGACACGCTACAGCTGCTGGTTGTATTGTCACAGGGCCTGTGTGCTGAGGGTTCTGCTTCCTGGCTCCTCTAGTGCTTTGTTGTTTGGAGATGACCAAGGGAGAGAGCCTCGAGGTCTGGCATCTTGTCTGCCCATCAGACATCTTAGCAAACATGTCTGGCCAGTACTAGCTGGTGGCCTGAGATTATTTAGATCTCCCTTCCCCTGCTTTTCTCTCTTTTTCCTTCTCTTCCTCCCCATTTCCAAACCTTTATTTATTCTATCACCCAGATATAACCAATGTGAGCATTTAGATATCTTTCCTGTGCATATACATATTTAAAAAAAAACCCAGACAGACCTTATTGTACGTTTTATATCCTGTTGCCTTTTTTAAACAAGAATTGCAGCATGAACATTTCCTACATCATTAAATATTCTTTGAGACTGTGTCTTGTAGCGATTGGACACTACTATGTGGATGTACCATATTTATTTAAGCAGTTCTCTATTCTGTTCAGACACTTGTGTTATGTCTACTCTTTTGCTGTTGTAAATAACTCTGTGATGAAGATCCTCATGCGTGAATTGCCTCTCGGATTATTTTCCTTGGGGGAGATTCCAAGAAGCGAAATGACTGGGCTATGTCATAAACATCTTAAAGGCTCTTGATGCGTATTTTGACAAATTGCTTTCCAGAGACACTCTTAGTTTATCCTCTCATCAGCAACCTAGAGGGGACATGGCCCCAAGAGCTTCATTTCTGACCATGCCTGCCTTCTCTGGTCTCCCTGGCGACCCATTCCGGGCCTGTCACTGGCCAGTGGACCTTAGAACTCATACTTTTATAGGACGCTCACAACGCAACTCTGGCAGGTGATGCGCCTCTCCCCAGACAACTCTGTGGGCAGGGTCTGCCCTTTGCCTTTCTCTTGGTCTCTTCTCTTTCTCGGGATGTAACCACAAAGGTCTTGGAATCCACGGGACTTATTTTTCATTTTTAAATTCTTACAAAAAAAATTAAAAATTAGTTTTTAAAAGTTATAAAAAACTTTTGAGTTGTAAAATATATAAACCAAAAATGGCATAACACTTAAATGCAGAGTTTAACGGGTAATTATAAAGCGGATATCGACTAAGAGAAAGGACTAGACCATTGCCACCACTCCAGAGGCTGCGCATCTCTCCTCCTGATTACGATGCCCCCTCCCCCTGAGACATACCCACTAGCATGACTTTATGATAATCATTTCCTAGCTTTTCTTTAGTTTTACCACCTATATGTGCTTTCCTAAATGACTTCTTTTTGAATATTGCTTAATGAAACCATATCTCATATCTTCTTTTGGGCCTTGCTTCTTTTGCCTCACGTTACTTGTAAGATCCATCTTGGTTGTTGTGAGTAGTTGACATTTGTTTCGTTATCTTTCTTCCAGCACCTTGCTTGGTGTCAGGTGCCCAGAAGCCATGTTATAAATGTGCACTCACGAGGATAAGCCCTGCTGGGTAGTCCAGGGCTGAGGGAGGTTTCTTCAGGCTGTGCGGGGGCAGGGCTCCACCGTGGGTATGGGGCAGGGTCATGTGCTGGGGTGAGAGGTTTGGCTGAGACTTGGTCCCTGGGAACTGACAGCTGAGAAGGACTCAGTTAACTCAAGTGTGTTATGAATGTAGAGCAGGGACTGGCCTGGCCTTGAAGGGACTCAGGTGACCAAATCCGGCATGAGGCTCTCAGGATACCGCCAGAGGCGTCCTGAGAGCCTGGGCCTGACAGCATGAACAGGACAGATGGGGGAATGTGGGGGCCGGGAGCGCCCAGGAGCTCGGTGCAGTGGGGGAGCTGGGGCGGGCTCGGGTGGTAGGGTCGGGGGCGGGGAGGATGGCAAAGGCCGACCATGTGGTTGGACTTCCTGCAGCTGGTGTGTGAGGGCGGGTGGGGAAGGTAGCAGCAGCAGTTCTGCCCAGGATGAGCGTCTCTGTCTTTCTGTTTCTGTCTGTGTATGAGGGGGTGTGTGGGCTCTTGGGGTGTTGGGGCAGGGCTAGCGGTCTTCAGTCTTCTGTGGCTGGCTTTGGCAGGCTGCCTCCCCCTCCCCTTCCCCTCCCCTCCCCTCCCCTCCCTCCCCCTCCCCTCCCCTCCCTCCCCTCCCCCTCCAATCCCTTCCCTCCCCCTCCCCTCCCCTCCCTCCCCTCCCCTCCCCCTCCCCTCCCCTTCCTTTCACCTCTCCTCCCCTCCCTTCCCTCCCCTTTCCCCTCCCCTCCCCTCCCCCTCCCCTCCCCCTCCCTCTCCCCCTCATTGCCACCAGGCCTCTTTGAACTGTCCTCTTTGTTTTCAGCCTTTAGATCTCTGTAACCCTGCCCGGACCCTCCTGTTGTCGGAGGAGCTGCTGCTGTATGAGGGGAGAAACAAGGCTGCCGAGGTAAGACACTCACATTTCCCGGGTGGGGTTTCTGGTGGGCTTCATCGGCCATCCTCCAGGCCCCTAACTTTCCTCTCTTCCTGATGGTCTCAGAATTGTACAATTGGGGTAGAAAAGACCGGAAAAGGCCTCCATGCCCTCTTTACCAAATGGCTACCCAGCTTTTGTTGGTATATTCCCAGTGATAGGGAACTTGCCACCTCTCAAAGCCATAGAGTGCATCTTTGATGGTTACAGAGTTTTCCCAACACCTAATGACGTTCCACTGTTTCTCCCATCTTCCTCTAAGGAGCAGGAGAGATGGCATTTCACCCCAGCTGTGATGAATGACTTTGTGGGTGAGAAGATAAAGCTGTTAGCCAAAGAGAATTTTAGAAGAGCACCCGTTACCTGGGTTTTTGGGTGTATATTAACCCAAATCCAAAATCTTCTTCTGAGGGATAAGTCTGTGATCTCTCTTTGGGCTCTAGCTCTGCCAACAGAGACCTGGGTGTGTAGGTCATGCTGCTTTTCCTGGGAGCTGGCCCCGGCTTATCTCTAACTGGGGGGATTTCACTCGCCCACACCATCCCCAGAGCTGGCCAGGTTCCGGCTCAGTCTCATGAGTTTAAATCTACTTGGGAACAGAAGTTGGAGCTCTGGGGTCTGACTGGGCTACCTGGGAGCCTTGAGGAGAAGGTAGGGGGCTTGCCTCCAATCGGGCCCTGATTCAGAGCTGGCAGTGTGGCTTGGCTGGGTTGAGGGACAGCTCGGGGTGGTGGAAAGATCAGGAAACTTGGAGGCAGAAGGCATGTAGCCAGCTCTTGCTCCGCGGCTGGTTCACTTACAACTTCTTCCTTCTTCCTCAGTCTCCCCATCGGAACAGTGGGGTGTGTGTGTGTTTGAGGCAGCAAGGGCAGGGTCTGAGGTCAGCTGATCTCTAAGGGCCCTTTCAGCCTCAGCATTCCGGGACATTTTGTGTAGTCGTGACTAAAGCGGGCTGCTTTTGTTTTGTTTGTGCAACAAGCAGACCAGAACTCATATTTTCCAAATGAGCGTTGTCTTTCAGGGGCGCTCCCTGGGGAGACTGCAGGATTATTTCTACCACACTGGCGTTGCTTACCACATTTCTGGACCTCCTCTTCAGGAACTTTCTTAAGAACCTTGGCATAACTTCTGAATTGCCTCTGTGGGAGTAAAACTTCATCTGTTGCGGGGGATTTGGGTTTTAGGAACGAGAAGTCCTTTGGAGCTATGCTTGGTGAATAGGTGTGTGGTGGAGCTCAGTCAGGTAGCCAAAGGTCAGAAACTGAGGTGTGTGGCTATAAACCCACAAGACTCAGAAGGAGGCGGTTAGGAATGGCAGCCACTGTGGGGTACATTCATATGTCTCAGTGTGCTCTTTTCTTCCCCTACTCACTTACCATTAAACCTGCAAACCTTGAGCACTTCTTATTTATCCTCACTGTGCAAGTTTTGCATTCTTGATCCCAGTTAACTCTCACAGCTTCCCGAGGAGAGGCACGTTTGCCCCTACTCAGTAGATGAGGAAACTGAGGCTCGAGTGAGATTTACTAGGACCTGAGGGTCTCAAGACTCCTAAGAGATGGAGCCATGATTAGCACTTGGGATCTCTCTGGCTCAGCAGTTCTTTCCAGGATCCCATGCTGGCTCTGGTGTGTTTGTTTAAAAACAAACTAACAAACATAAGCTGAAGCCAGGGCCTGATGATAGTTAAAATCTGTCCAAAAGCTCTTTGCCTAGTGGGCCTTTGGAGCCCTAGAACTAAGAGACCCCTTTTGACGGTTGAAAGAAATGATTTGAACACAAGGAAAAATAATACATTTCTTTTTCTTGAAATATGATAGGAAGCAAATATGTGGCTGTTAGTAGCCTGTCATGTTATTCAGGCCAAAAATATAAACCAATGCAAGAGGGGTTTGGCGAAGTTCAGAGAATCGCATCGCATCGTGGCTGGGCCCTCAGGCGCCGTCCATTCTAATTGCTTCCCTGTAACTTTCCAGCTGACCGTTCTCCATCCAGCCTCTTCTTGAGTCTGCTGAGGGAGCCCTCCCGGCAGTGGTTCTATTACCAGAGAGCCCTAAATTGTAGAAAGTTGCTCGACAGAAATCTTTGTTCATGGAATGTTCCCCCTTGGCTTGGTGTCCCTTCTCTTCTCTGGGCATGCTCCGTGAGCTGATCCAATCCCACACCGTGAACTGCCCTCATCACACGCCCTCCCGGAAGTCACCAACTTGATTAACGTGCCCTGAGATCAAATCAGCGTTTTGGTACAGACTCATTTCTACATTCAAAGAATGGTTACTGAGCATCTACGATGGAGCCAGGCCCTGTGCTGGAGGTTCTAGGAGTCCTATGGGGCACAAGACAGGCACGCCCTCACTTTACACACTGACTCATTAAGTTTACCGTTTGCTGGGTCACCAAGGCCTTTGCTGCAAACCCTGCCCTCAGGCAAGATTCCTCCCCACGTGGGATTAGTGGTGCTTCAAGTCTCAAGGATTTCCTAACCAAGCGATTCCTCGACTCTTGAGCCTTTGGGAAAACAGATGTGTCCTTGGAACAAGTGTGGGGAAGACAGCTGGCGGCCCCCAGGGCCTGCTGTGGGAAGCAGAAGGTAACTGGGCTGTGGAGATGGGCGTCACTGCACTGCAGGCTGCTGTGGCTCTGCGGGGAGCAAGGCCTGCAGGGTGCTGGTGAGACGGGAGAGGGGCCCACCTGCCCTCCTCTGGCACCCTCGCCTCTCTGCCCTGTCTCCCGCTGTGCAGCAGCTCTGTCCTTTCCCTGACCCGGCTTTTGGGGAAATTCTTCGTTCAGGCCTTAATCACTTCCTGTCTAGACCACATTCTCAGCTCTGGGAATCTGGGCCAGAGCAGCGACCTGGGTCTTTTCTCACCTTGCTGGTACCTCTTCTCCACTTGCCATCCATGCAGCCCTCTCTGGGCCTGCGTTGTTCTTTGAATTTTTAGGCTCCTGACAGACTATCTCCTCTGACCCTTCCCCTGCCAGCTTCCCTGTGGGTCCAGAGACCACTTCCTGGTTTCCACTGAGTGGGTCAGGGGACCCTGAGGGTTTGTCTTGTGCTTGCCTAGTGTAGAGCTTTCTCCTTTCCACTCACTGGACGTTGAAGTCTTCTCCTCAGACAACCAACCCCTAAACTCCTTCTGAACTCTGAGATCATTTTCTTCCCTTCCCTTAACTTCATGTTTCTGTCTCCTTTGTGCCTCTTTTTTAGTCCCTGCTTGGATTCTTTCACATTCAGGGACAGGACAACTGTAGGCACATTGCTACCTCACCATATTGTGAGAGCTTTGCGGTCATCCAGACCTGGGCAATGGTCTCTGGCTGTGTAGCCTTGGACAGGTCACTTAACCTCTCGGTGCTGTAGGGTCCTCACCTATACATGAGGGCAATGATGTTAGTTACAAGTGAGGATCCACTGAGCAGAAAGTAAGTGCTCAGTAAATGGAGGCTTCTGTGGACTATGTTGGGTCAGGGCTGTGACGGGAAGGGGTTTGGAGAGAGTCACTGCCAGGATGCCTTCCAGCCCAGGGTTCAGGAGCCCTTGTGTTTGGTCCCCGTTAGATAAGCCAGAGCCCCTGAATGCCTCCTGCTCAAGAATGCCCCCTACCGTCTCTGTGGCCCAGATTCCCTCAAACCTCTGTGTGCCACGTAGTCCTTTGAAAAACATTTATGTATTTTTAAATTATAAAAGTAACAGATTCTCATTGCAAACTAATGCAAATTAAACAGAAACGTATAAAGTCAAGTCCCATTCCCCACAGTGAAGACTGTGATGAGTATTTTAGACGTTAAAAAATGCATAAATACAGACAGGTTTACAGTTTGGTTTTACGAAGTTGGATTATACGCTAGCTATTTTTTGGACATTGCCCTGTTTTGATTTATGATGGACAGATTTCCATGTCTGCCCACATGGCTCTACTTTCTTCTTTCAATAGTTGCATAAAATTCTCCCACATGAAGGTAGCATAATTTAGTTTATCCATCCTCTCTTAATGGGTGTTTATGTTCTTTTTTAAAATTACAAAATTTTGTAATGCTGAGAACATCCCTACATGTTCATATTTGTATGTCCTTGTAAGTATTTCTATAGGCTAGAGTCATAGAGGTGGAGTTGTTAGGTCATCTTCAACAGTCTGGCAGCTAAATGTCAACACGTTGGCTTTTTAAACTTCGTCAACAATCCAGCACACACTGTGGCCCTGCGTAGTGCATGCCAACCTTCCAGCGGACTCTTCTTACCCCAGATGAGATGAAATGTCAGATTTTGACACCTCAAAGGGAATTCCACAAAATTAATAATATTTTGTTTTCTTCGGAGAATCTGAAATAGGGTTTTTATTGCTTTTGACTAAAGGCCACCGCAGGATTTACAAAACAAAGACCAGTGTAATCTTTACTGGCATTAGAGGATCAAGTGGATTTTTTTTTAGCATAAAAATATGCTGAGCATGCCTGATGGTTTACCTATAATGTCTAAAAATATCTTTCTCCTTTATTTTTGGAGCAGCTAGTGTATGAAAGAGATAAAAGTTCTGTGCTTGTCTGTGTTGGAGCATAAGTAACTGGCTTTTTCTTGAACTGACTGTGCATGAACGCAGTTAAAATTATCTACAAGGAATTTGGTAAGGATACTCACATTGCATGATACTTCAAATTCACTGTCTACACAGACCTTGTGAAAGAAGCCTGTAGGGAGCTGGGCAGGGACGTTCCCCCCCGTTTGCACAGATGAAAAAAAACTGAGGCAGAAGGGATTCAGCAGACTTAACCAAGTTTTCATGGCTACTTAGTGGGACAGGTGCCTCGACTTCTGACTCCAAGCCCAGTGCTCTTTCAGCCGGACATTTAGAGGAGAATGCAAGCAAATGTGGCACGTCCTGCAGCTCAAGGCTGGCTCCAAGCCAAGGGCACTGGGCTGGAGATTCCAGAGGCGTTTGGTCAGAGAGGTGGGCCTGTGGGGTGTCGGGCTGTTGAGAGGCTGGCAGAGGCCGTCAGGAGGCATGGAGAATGAGGATGAGGGCTGATTTTTGTTCTGTTATTTTTTCCTACTGTGAGGAGTAGCAAAAGGGTAGCCTTGACTGCAGGTCAGGTCTCGGCCCTTGGCTTAGGCCATGCTGAGCATCTGCTCCTGGTTATGCCCGAGATGATGGAGACGCGTTACCTGGACTCCCAGGGGAGGCTGTGGCTTCTGGCCTCTGGGACAGCAGAACAGCGAGCTCTGTTTGCTCTCTCCCTGTGCAGGTGACGCTGTTTGCCTACTCTGACCTGCTGCTCTTCACCAAGGAGGATGAGCCAGGCCGCTGCAACGTCCTGAGGAACCCCCTCTACCTCCAGAGCGTGAAGCTGCAGGAAGGTGAGTGCATGCCCGAGATGCCCTGGGCTCCCTCTGCACTCTCTCTGAGGCCTGCTCTGGGCAGCACGGATGGGCTGTGTGCCCCTAGGTCTGGTTCTCAGACACTGGCGTTCCAGTCTAGGCTGGCAGGCCCCTGTACACCCTGAGCTTTGCTGGGAGGCTTCTGCTCCAGTGAGGTCTCAGGGAGGCTTGGGAGTGGAGTGGGAAAAGCGCTGGCTTCAGACAGACCTGTGTTCAAATCTTGGCTCTGCCCCTCACTACCTGTGTGACCTCAGGCAAGTTCCTCAACCTCTCTGAGCCTGTTTCCTCATGCGTAAGTGAGGACACCAATAGTATCTCAGAAGGTTTTTGTGAAGATTAAATTAGGTCATTTATGCAAAATGGCTGGCCCACACTGTGTGCCCAGGCAACACATCCGGGACATGAGCACGTGGGAGGGTGAAGTGAGTCTCTACCCCACACTTGCCACGGTGCCCTCCCCTCCACTCGGGAATGGGAAACCAGCGGGAGTATCTGTCGAGTGGTTTGGTTTGGCGCCTGAGGTCTCTGCTGAAAGGGGCTCAATTTCCTCTCCCAGATTATGAAAACAACACCAGACCTGTTTGAGCATGGGTGACAGGGGCAGGGAGGAAAATATTACCCAGTGAAAGAATTCTGTTTTGACGGGTTTTGCTCCAGGAAAACTTCCTGCCTGTTTGCAAACCCGGCCTGCGTGCTCGGTGCCCCCGCTGTTCTTCCTCCTTAGAAACCCAGGGCGTGTGAGAACCTCCATTCTCGCAACCCCACAGGAAGTCGCTTACAACTTCTCCTTCTCTGCCTCTGGCTTTCTCCTGCCCACTGCCCACTGCAGCCACTGAGGGGAAAAAGCAAGTCACCTTGCTTGGGGCCAGCCTCTCCTACAGGGTGGGCTGGGCCAGACCAAGGTCATGGGGAGGAACAGCCCTCTGAGCAAGTTCAGCTGAGATCCTGGCATTCCAAGGAGCCCCCCATTACCTGCGGGAGCGGGGTGGGTGAGAGCTACAGTGACTCTGCCCTTGGCTTCCCTGCTGCCCTGCCCCTCTCTCTGTCCCTCACGCCCAGCTTCCCCTACACAACCATTCTCCCGTCCCTCCCACCCCTCTGCACACACATGCACTCACACGCCTGCCCACCCCCAGCTCCCACTATCTAGGACCCAGTCAGATTTGAGGGGTGCTGGTGGGGGGCTGTGCTTGGTAATACAGGCTGATTGATTAGAACCATCACACAAGTCAGGCTCATCATACAAGTCTGGGGCCTGCAAGCCCAGGACCCTGGGCAGCTCAGCCTCCTGCGGAAAGGAGGGAGGGGGAAGAGGGCTTTCAAACTGGCTGAGCGTTGGGTGCGGGTTGGGAGCCACAGGGCAGAGGAAGAGCCGAGGGCAGTAGCTGGGGGCGTGAGGCCCTGGGCCGGCTTTGCTGCTGACGTGTGGTGTGGCTTCAGCTGCTCCTTTCTCCCTTTTCTGGGCTGTGGTTTTTCTGACTGTGAAGCCAGGCTTGGGCAGTCCAGCGTGTTCCCTCCCAGACCTGACGTGCCCACATGGACCCCGAGGTTGCTCTGAGAAGCTGGACAGTGCTCACTTGTCTGGTCCCCACCCCTAGCCCGGGTGCGGGGAGCCCGCTGGGAATTGGTTGGAGCTTCCCCTCCTGGAGGCCCCAACCTAAGGCTTGAAGTGAGAGGCAGGGTAAGCACCATCCTCCCCTGGGTGGCGGCTGGTCAGGGTGGGTGGCGTGAGGCCTTGGGGCGTGGCAGAGAAACCGCCCGCGTGCCAGGTTGCATGTGAGCGCCAGCCTGTGCGGGCATGGCCTCCTGGGGCTGGAGACTGTGGGTGGCCAAGACCAGCACTGCTCAGGAGAGATGACCACAGCCCTTGGAGCCTATTGGGTTGGCACATGAGGGGGTGTGTGTGTGTGTGTGTGCGCGCGCGCGCCTGTCCTGGCTGGCCGGGCCATTGTTCTGGTGCGAACTGTCTTGCCTTTCTCCAGCAGTGTCAGTCAGCAAACACAGCGAGTGTGGCTTTCCATGGAGCCAGGGAGCTGCTGGGAGCGAAGGCAATGGCTCAGAGACACTGAGCACTCAAGGTGCACATTCCAATGCTTAGATGTCTTTTCAGGCACTTGTGGGGAGCCCTTGCCCCACTCCCTGAGGCAGCCTTGGGGGTCCCAGGGTTTGCAGAAGTCCGGTGGCCACCTCTCCAGCTGTCGGAGTTGGAGCCGCAGGACCCGGTGTCCTGAGTCCTGGCGCCCGCACTCCTGCCCGCCTCCCCACACCCCCAGAGACTCGCTGCAGCAGCACTGGCCTGAGCGAGGCTTTTAAGAGATGCATTTGGGGCCTCAGCTGGAGCTCCTCTTGGCAGGATGGTCTCTGATTAACATCGCTCATGACTCCTAAGGTTTCTTGTCTCTTTCAAATCAACATGTGCGGAAAGTTCAGTTTGAGGCAGAGAAGATGGTGAACAAGGAGCACACCCAGCCTTTCCTGCAGGCTGGGGCTGGCGAGGGCAGTTCCCTGGCCGAGGAGGATCTGCCCCACCCAGGGACCAAGGACTCCCTTGTGTGACATGCCTGATGCGTGCTTGGCTCTGCTGGCCAAGCCTACTCCCAGGGCTGGGCATGGGCACAGAGTATCGTGGATGCCCAATGACTGTTTGTTGGGTGAATGAGTGTAGGACCCAAGGGAGATGGGAAGCATGGCCTCAGCTTGGGGGCTGGGGTGCACTCCTCCCTCAGGGCTCCCGGCTGGTGGCCACTTAAACCTTGCCCGCCTTCCTCCTGCCCAGCTTCCCCCGAGCTTCAGCAAGGCTGAATGGCAGTGTAATGGGAACAGGCGGAGAGCTGGCGCTAACAACTGGGACATCTCCGGTCAGCCGGGGCCCATTGTGGTCTCTTCCTGCCTCTGCCGCCCACTGGCTTTGCTGTTCTTTGTGTTTCTGCCTCCCGGGTGGCCAGTATCCCACCCACAGTGTGTCTTCCTGACCTGCTGTGGTCTCTCAGGATGGCCTGGAAATGTCCAGCTGATTCTTGGGTTCACCATCCACCCTGAGGAGCCCAGGCGCCCCATCTTGGAAACTCAGCTGCTTAGGTCCAGGCTGCTGGTACACTTGGAGTTAAATTTAGTCGGTTGACATATTCTGAGCACCTACTCAGAGCCCACCTCAGTGCTGGCCGCCAGGGTGAGAGCAGAGGAAGAGACACACATACATTCCCACCTCCGGAGTGCATGGCCAGGTGAAATGACAGATGAGTAAACCGGGAGAGGGACAGAAGTGTGACATAGTGGTCAGAGCACAGGCTTTGGAGGCAGGCAGTCCTGGGTTCAAGTCTCAGCTCTGTCACTTGCCCACTGCATGCCTTCTGCAAGTTGTTTTCCTTCCCTGGGCCTCAGTTTCTGCATCTGGAAAACGGGGACAACAGCCCTCCTGGCCTGTCTCACAGGTGGGGAGGACTTGGTAACTGGTGGATTTGGGGATCTCAGACCAGGCCTGAGAGGGCTCTGGGAAAATGGCAGAGGGGCCAGACTTGGGCCGGGAAGCCACCTCTGGGCTCCCCCCAGCCCATGACTGGGGATCACCCTTGCATAGCCCATGGTCCATGGCCCACATTCCTTGATGGGAAAGAGGGTTCACCCAGGAACCAAATGGCTCCTTGTTAAATTTCAAAATGGTGAAAGTGGTTGGAGTGTTGGATGGAAAGCCCGAATGTGTGCTGCCTCACTGTCCCTTTTCCTTTACACCTGCCCCCGTTTCCACGCTCTGGAAAGTCCAGAGCCCAGTCCAGTGTTTTGGAAGGATTTCCGGCGGAGCTGAGGTTTCTCTCCTGGGTCAGCCACGCTGCAGCCTCCTTTTCTGCAGCTGCAGCTCCTTACAGGCACCCTTGGCTCCTGAGCCTTGCTGTCCTTCTTTATGAGGCTCTGAGCCATGCTGAGCGCTGCCCCCATTCTGTCCTCCTCCCATAGTGCTGCCAGCACAAGGCCATGACGGGGAGCAGATTTCAGTGAAGGTGTGCAGTAACGCAGGGGTGCGATGGTGGGGTGTCACGGCACAGAAAAGTTTCAAGGCGATCCGTCAGCGATCCCTCGTCACTGGGAATATGTCCTAGGCTGCATCCCCCAACCTTGGCCTCCTGTCTCCCTGAGGCTCCCATCTACCTGGCTTTCCACTCCCTTCTAGAACCTCTTCTCTCACTGGCAGCTTCTAAAACCCAAAATTCTGTTATTTTCTTACACAGATCTTTTTGTTTCTCCCTTGGCACTAAAGTCTGCTTCTGGAAAGTCAAGGAAACGTCCCAGTGTGTTTTCTTAAACAAAAGAAGCCACCTCCCCTTGTCTCCACCCTCAGCAATGCAAGGAACTGGCAGAAGCTTTGAAATTAGAGGTTTCTTAAACACGATGGACTTCTTAGGCAGGGCTGCCCCCTGCCCCCCAGCCCATCTCTAGGTGGGGAGAAGCAGAAGGATTTATTCTAATTCCAAAGCAAACCCCCATTTACTTATGAGCTATTTTCATCTAGCTCTGGCTGACATCCCTGGCCTTAGGGATAGATTTGCCCAGGAAACTGCCCATATGCTTGCTCCGAGGGGGCCTGGCCTCCACCCACGTGAGGACCTCACTCACTACTTTTCTTAGGAATAGGCTTGACCCACCATCTCTGTTTTTCCCTTGCCGCCTCTACTTTGTAAGGCATTTTGACAATTTCTTTGATTCAGGTGTATGTTGAGGGTTCTGCGTTGAGCCCAGCACTAGTCCTGTTTCCTTGAGGGGACAGGTGCCTGGGTAGGGCCTACGTGGTGGGCATTTGAGAGGCAGGTGTGTAGTGGTTCGGAGCGTGAGCTCTGGGACCAGGCTTCCCGGGTGTAAATCTGGGTTCTTCCCCCTTCTACCTGAGGCATGTTACTCACCCCCTGTGCCTCAGTTTTCTCACATGAATCATGGATGATAATAACCCCTGCCTCATAGGGGTTGTTGTGAGTGTCGAGTTTATGCACATGAAACATTTGGCGCTGTAGTTGGCACACAGCACTGGGTACTCTAAACCCCTATGGCAGTTTAAGTGTTTGCCGTTATATGTGCTGTATGATTGCTTCCCTCAAAAAGGATGACCTGCCTGGTGAGGTCGAATTCTTGAAATACAGGAAGTTCCTAACCAGCCCTGGCCTGTGCTCAGATGAGTGGCCCACGGGGAGTGCTGCCAGGTTCCGAGGAGCAGCCTGCAGCAGTCAGGGAAGGCCACCTGGAGGAGGAGGCGGGGCTACCTCACAGTCGCCATCCCTTGAGCACAATTTGTGCTTCTGCATCTCCATGCCTTTGCCCGTGCTGTTCCCACCTCCCAGAGTGCCGTCTCTTCCCACCTTGAGTTCAAGCTCAGAAGAGTCCCCCTTTTGTCAGGAAGCCTTCCCTGACAGCTGTGGGTCATCTCTTGGCTCTTGTGTTTCTGCAGCAGGCTGACCAAATCATCTTCCGCCTTAGGGTAGGTATCCCGCCTCAGCTTCTCTGCTGGAGGAGCGGGGAGTGGCCAACAGGCCCTCCCAGCTGCCTCCCAGGTGGAGAGGGTTTGGTGAGTGTTTGAGTTTGGGATTCTAGACCAGGGTTGAGAAGGCTCTAGGAAAACACACTGAGGGGTTGGGCCTGGGCTGGGAAGCCATCTCTGGGCTCCACCCAGCCCGTGATTGGGGATCCCCCTGCATAGCCCATGCATTCCTGGGTGGCTTCTTGTTGAATTTCAAAATGGCAAAGGCAGTTGGAGTGTTTAAAAGAAAACCCAAGTGTGTGCTGCCTCCATGTCCCTCATTACAGGGGACATGGAAAGGAAGAGGCCTCCTGGGATGGATGACAGCTCCCTGTACCCCACTGCTTGATGCCCAGAGGGTACTCCTGGCTACCTCTCATAGGGTGAGAGCTCAGTATTCCTTGGGTCAGGCTGACCTGCAGGCAAAGGCCTTACATCTATATCTCAACCTAATTAGATATTAAGTGGGCTTTCCTCCAGAGATTTCCCTGCCCCTTTCTTCTTCTTTTTACAGGAAGTACCACACACAGCCCTCTGGGTGAGACAGCTGGCTGTGCTGCAAACAGTTGAGACTCTGTAACCAGTTCTAAAGCAAGTCTTACTTTTTGTTCCCTCAAAGGTTCTTCAGAAGACCTGAAATTCTGTGTGCTGTATCTAGCAGAGGTGAGTCCTTCCCCCTGAATCTGAAGAGAGAGATGTGTGTCCTGGTGCTTGAAGGAAGATGTTGGGCCGGGTTCTAGTGCAGGTTCTGATGCTGCCTCCACACCAACTCCTGCAGGGGTTCCGGGCAGGTCCAGAGTGGCAGTGTCCTGCTCTGTGGAATGGGAACAGCAACCCCTGCCCCTGTGTCTCTTACCTCTGTGTAGAAGAGCAGTGGACGTGAAGGCGCTTAGAGGGGACAGAAGGACACTGTGGTCTCCTGCTTAGGACTTCCTGGTCTCCGGCCCCTGCAGGGGGTCACAGTGAGGGTGTGGCCTGAGAGCCAGGCAACACCCTATTCACTTGGTAGTCCTTCTTCTATAGAGTGCCCTGATTCTTGTGCCCACCTCTTTCCTCCTCTCTTTCTAGAAGGTACCACCTATGTCCCCTCCTGCAGGGTCTTGTCAATGTTTCAAAAGGCCTGAAGGTAACTGTACCTTTACCTGGGCCAGATAATACAGGTGAAAGAAACCATCTAGCGTCTGTGTTTTGGGCTGGAGTGACGCCCACTCAGTGTGATTGATGTTCCTTAATTCCTTAAGACTGGTTACCTCAGTCTGATGAGAAGTTCAGCTAGACAGTGTGCCTTTGCTAAGCAAAATGGGGGCACACAGCTGATTGTTTGACGTGGTTCGGGAGATAAAATATCATTACCAGGGGTTTAATCAAAGAGGGCCTTGGTGATGAAAAAGTTGAGACCCACTGATCCATACAAATTTTTTCAATTTTCAGCAAATTTTCTAATCCCAGCCTTGTACCTCTGCTCATATGAGTCTGCTACCAGTTCCAGGCAGGGTTTATTAGACCCATTCCTTCCCTCTGCTTCTGCTCGTCTGTCTTACTCAGTAACAGTCCTGGGAAACTGCCTATTCTGTGGGAGAATCTACACTGGCCCCACGTTATGGGTGAGGCCTGGTCTACACTGGCTGGCCAAGAGGAGTACACCATTTTGGGAAGGAATTTGCATGTTGTTTGTGATTGGAAAATCATTCCTTCAGTTCCTGGCTAAGATAGGAGGTGCAGGGCTTCAGGTGAGTCCCTTGGGTGAACACAGACCCCTGAGGACAAGACGGTTGATGAGAAGTTAGCTTCAGGGGACAGCAGGGAATCCAAAGGACAGTGGACCTTGTTGGAGCCGAGCCGGGGACCCTGGCAGCCTAGAATGGCCACTCGAGGTCCAAGAAGGCATTGATGTCCTCCCCTGTGTCAGCATATCCCCACCGGGCACAGGAAGTAGCTGGTGGAGACCCTTCAGGGGGGCGTGAGTTCATTTCCCCGGAGCCGAGCGAGCAGCTTAGGAGAAGCTGTGAGGCAGGCTGGGAAGAGTCAGAGCATTTGCCTCCCCAGCCTCACCCATCTGGATTCCAGTTCTCTGCAGCGGGGCCTGAAATGAGACTCCAGGTTCTTTAATGCCAAGACAGCTTCCTGCCAGGCTGGGGTTATTTTTCCCAGAGAAAAGCACTTCTGCTCCTTGGTTTCCAGGGATCCGTGACCTCCTACCCCTCCAAAGACTGATGAAGGGATATTGATCTGGGACCTTTTATTTCAGTAAAGTGTCAGGTGATCTGACCCCAAGGGGCTGGGTGTTTGAAGATCACAGGCAGCTAGAAGCCCCTCTGTTCTCTTAATGGGCTGCTCTTTACGAGAGGCATGTCTGTATCACAGGGAAGACAAGATCCCTGCTTGCCCTGTGGCCTGGAATAGGCTTGACAACAGTGGTTTTGGAACTCATGGGGAACCCCAGACTCACGTCTTAGTTGGAACTCCCAGCAAGTGGTTTCTCTTCATTGCCTAACATGCAGGTAGTGTCCAGAGAAGAACCAGGGCAGGGCAAGAGAGTCAGGATTTGGGGACAGTTTTCCACTCTGCATTGGGAAAGCCCCAACTGCCTGGGGGGCAGCAGCTCTGATTGTTCCCCAGCAGTAGGTCCTGGTTAGTTATCAAGTGGGTGGGATTGTTCTGAGCAGTCCTTGGCCCTGGGGCCTCTATTTCCCTGGACAGGTGTCCCTCAGCCCCTACAAATCCATGGGAGAGATGCAGCCCACGACTGGCTGTACCAGGGGCGTCAGGTCAAAGGCCACACAGGTCAGGGACCATCCGCTAACTTGGAATTTGATCCTGGCTCCATTGATTTAAGAGTTTGCTCTTTGGGGTTAGGAAGACCTAGATTGGAATCTTGGCCCTGCCAAGATTGAGCAAGTTACATACTCATCTCCGAAACAAGGCTGAGGAGTCCTACCTTGTAAGGTTGTTGTAATGATTAAATGAGATCCAGTAAGATACTGTGTCCAAGGCACTTAGCGCAGAACCTGCCACACGGTTAGTGCTCGATAAATGGTAGCTATTATTTCTGTCAGCTTCCTAACAGGCGGAGAGCTTTTCATATTCAGTTACTCTCCATTAGAGACATCACCGATGATTTATTGATCCTTTAAAATAAAAGCTAAGAGGAAGATCTCACATTTTTTGTAATGTACGTATACTGTTAATCAAATGAGGCAAGATCGAAGGCTCTGGAGGAGGTGGAAGACAGACTTTGAATCCCTCCTCTCCTGAGACCTCCTGGGGCTGCTGACTTCACCTCTCTGAGCCTTAGTTTTCTCATCTGAAAAACGGTAACAGCTGTGTTTTTCCTTCCTCCCTATGTCATTGGGTCACTGAGAGAATTGAATAAAATGAGAGAACATCTGTCACAGCAAGTGAGCAAACATAAATTGTAGTAGAAGAGGTCTTAGGTTTTTGTTTGTTCGTTTGTTTTTTCGGTACTCGGGCCTCTCACTGTTGTGGCCTCTCCCGTTGCGGAGCACAAGCTCCGGATGCGCAGGCTCAGCGGCCATGGCTCACGGGCCCAGCCGCTCCGCGGCACGTGGGATCTTCCCAGACCGGGGCACGAACCCGTGTCCCCTGCATCGGCAGGCGGACTCTCAACCACTGCGCCACCAGGGAAGCCCCGAGGTTTTAGTTTTTACAAGGATAATATTAATTCAGGAACAAGGAGGTTGAGGCAAGATGGGGGTTTTAAAGAAGGCAAGGGGAGCCATGTTTCTAGTTGGATTTGGGGATGCTCATGTTTGAATGCAGAGGTCTGGGCCCAGTGCTGTTGCGTCTGGCGGGCTCTGTGCTTAGCTAACCATGCTGCAGTCAAGGAAGCCCTGCCTCTGAGTGAGTTTCGTGAGGATGCTTTCAGGGCAGCTTACAACCTTGACCTTGGAGCCTGATATTTGAGGGCACAGTGTCTATCAGTGTTGAAACTGATGAGTCGGATCACAGAGTGGACAAAGAGAGACGGTTCACATGCAGGGACAGCCAGGCAGACAGTGGGGGCCCCTGATTTAGACAGACTTAGGCGGATGGGAATTCAGCCTCCCTGGAGGGAGCTGTCTCCATGCTCCCTCTCTTGGCCAGGCCAGCCTCCAAAGCTTCAGGCAACACTTAGAGAGGAGCCTTGGGAGCAAGGCCTTCCCAAAATGTGTGCCCGTCTAAAACAGCCAGCCCTACCCCCCAGCCAGGCCTAGGGTTAGGTCCTTGGTGCCTCGGATGCCTTCTCCAGATCATGGATGGGAAGGTGCTTTTTAAAATCGATACTTAGATCAAGGGAATTATTATTAAGGCAGAATCCTGCTTCAGAACAGAAAGAGAGGAGGAAGTTGGGGCTCAGGGAGATAAAGGCAGAGGCAGGCCTGAGAGGCTCGGGCCAGGACCAGATTTGTGGAGGGATGGCCTTTCCAAGCGGGAAGGGACCACAGTCCCTGCCCCAACTCTCCCCTCGCAGGGGCAACACAATGAGACGGGGAGCAGAGGGCCCTCTAGTCAGCTCCTGCCCCACCTGGTTTCTCCCTGGAGCATCTTGGGGTCTTTGCTGGGTGTGTCCTTCCCCTGCAGTGGGCTGGGGGTTCTGGGAAGTGGAGGGAATCGGTTATTAAGTGGGAGGATTGCCTCACCACATCCACTCAGTTCCCTGAAACCAAGAGGTGGGGCTTTCTTCCCTCTCTCCTCTGATGCTTTTAGGAAGAACAGCTTCTGAGCACTTTGGGGCTGGAAAGGAATGGCTGGCACCCTGGGAACACTTAGCATGGGGTGTGGCCCTTCCCTGAAGGGGAGCATCCCTGAGGGTTGGGTTTGATGGCAGGTAGACTATGTCCCCAAATGCTGTTAGATGATGCTGATAACCACCCCAGCTCAGAGCCCTTGCATTTGCTGTTCCTTCTGCCTGGAACAGTTTCCCTCTAGCACTTTCCTGGCTGGCTCTTTCTCGTTCAGCCTTTGCTGGAGTGCTGCCCCTTCAGAATGGCCTTCTCCAGTCTGTCAGGCTCAGATAGGACCTCTCCCTTTTGGCCTTTCCACAATTTGTAATTACACTGTTTAATTGTTTATTGGTTTATTGTCTCTGCCCCCATCCTGAGGGCAAGAACTCAGTCTCTCTTATCTCCCTCTTCACCCCCAGGGCCTACTACAGTCCCTGACACAAAATAGGTGCTCAATAAATATTTCTTAAACAAATGAAGTACTAATAACAACAATAGCTGCTGTTTATTGAGGCCTGGGTTATTGCTTGCCCTCCCAATAGCTCTGGGAGGTAGGTGATATCACTGTCATTCCCATTTTACAGGCTTTCCTGAGGTGACAGCTAGGAAGTGGCAAAGCTGGGATTCAAACCAGGCCTGTCCAACTGCAAAACAAGGAAGGACTGCGTAGAAACACTCTTTTTCTCTGTTCCAATCCATCCGGCTCACGCTCTTAGCTCCTTGGATGAGTTGATCTAATCGCAGTCCTGTGGGGTTATAATCAGATTCCAGCGGAGACAGAAAGAGCTAGCCATCCCCTCCTCAGAGCGTCCTGGAGAGGATAACACTGGGCATGCTGTCCCGCCCCTCCCCGCCCCCAGCACATTCTGACTCCTTCGGGGCGGGGCCGACTCCCTGGGTCCCAGCCGCTCCCTGGTGCCTGTAAGCTGGCCTGGATTTGACCTCATCCCGGAAGTCCCTCCAGGGAGCCAGAGCTTACTGAGGCATTCACTTGCCAAGCACTGCACTAGGCCCGGCTGAAAAAGGCCTTCCTAGAGGGAGTTTCTAGTCTAGTTGGGGAGACAAGACTGCAGCATTTAACAAGGTTAAATAGCAAAGTGAGATTTAAATGACAGCAGTGGTAGAGACTTGCACTCAGTTGAGCTGAACAGTCATTGATCAGACCCAGCTCACGTGTCAGGCAGTAGTGGGGCTGTACAAGGCCACACAATTGCTCCCCAAGGACTTTCCAAAGGGACCGAGTCGCTGTTTGGGCACCCATCTAACCTTGGCCTTGTGATCAGATGAGTGTGCTGAGGTGGGGGAGAGGGGTTCTGTGAGCCCGGGGAGGGGTCCTGGCTCCGTAGAGCATCAGAGGGGCGGAGACCTTGGCCCTCTGGGTTCCCCACGTGCTCCCCCAGCTGCTGCCTTGTGCTGCCTGTCCCCGGGGGTGACCTCACCATCACAGTCGGTGGCTCTCCACAGAACTCCACTGTGTTGGGAACCACTGCCTCCCTCCTTTCCCCCAACCCATGGGCACACGGCTCGCCAGCTGGCCCCTGAGCCAGCTTCCCTGCTCGTCTGGCTGCCTCGATGTCACCGGGGATTAGTGTGCGTTTGTGGCTTTTAGCGGTCACTCCCCTCCCTGCTGCAGCCTCACCCTCTGGAGCCCAGGGATGGGCTTGGGCTTGGTCCTGGGAGCCCCTGAACCAGGGAGCAGCGCTGACTGCCGCTCTCTCTGTTTCCCCTGACATCAGAAGGCAGAGTGCTTATTCACCTTGGAAGCTCACTCGCACGAGCAGAAGAAGAGAGTGTGCTGGTGCCTGTCGGAGAACATTGCGAAGCAGCAACAGCTGGCGGCTCCGTCCCCCGAGAGCAAGGTAAGGGCCTCGCTGGTGGCCACAGCCCTGGCTGCCTGGCTCCCCCTCGGCCCGCCTGCACCCTTGAGCCTCCGAATTGAGCTTGGGACCAGCCCTGGCTTAGGACTTGGATCTGGGCAGCAAGGTCTTGGCGAGGAGGCCTGTGCTCGAATGATTCTCCCCCTTGGCGTGTCACTGGATCTACTGAGTGAGTTTGACGGTGCTCAGGGAGAGTGACAGAGCCAGATGGAGCACGACCCATCAATTCTCGGTTCTGTTCTCTAGTTTGCCGACGGCAAGGTCTAGTTCGGGCCGGCCTCCCGGCTGCTGCCTGGCATGCGGCCCCCCTCTGCTATTGGGTGTAGGTCGTGCCCAGGGACAGTGAGCTCACTGGTGTTTAACACTGGCCCGAAGCAGACATAGTTGGGAGGAGACATTTGCGACAGAAGCCGTGCTGGTTCGATGCAGGCCACGGCCGGGTGGAGCCAAGTGGAGTTTTCGGGGACTGGGAGCCGGCCGGCTGGAGCATCAGGGAAGATTAGAGACTCCCAGCTGAAGCTGATCTGGGGCAGGCACCCCCTCGGCTGGTCCCGTGCCTGTGGAGGGCGTTGGGATCGGAGCTGGACTACAGCCTTCCCCTTGGTCCCCCGGATGCCAGGCCGAGGCACAGTTGTATTCCCCCATTTGTGAGCCACTCAGGTCCCTTCTCTTGCTGAACGTGTTGGCCGTGTTGGGATTTGGTCTGATTTGCTGCAGAGGGAGCCGTGGTGGTTGGTTGGCCGGAACCAGGGAGAAGAGGGTAAAGGAAAGTGAGCGCCAGCTGGTCAACTCGCAGGCCTCGTGCTTCTTCCTGCTGCGTTGAGGGCCGCCCTGCGCGCCATGCATACGTAGCCCAGCGGGGCAGTGGGGCAGGCTGCTGAGGACGGGAGGTGGGGAAGAGGCTGCTGCGCAGCCCCTGCTGGTGGGGTGGTGGCGGACGGCAGCTCCTCAAATAGCGCGTGTCTGAGAATTACGTGATCTCAGACTCGACAGTTATCTTGTTTTACACTTGCCAGGGGCAAGAATAACTGTGATGAGGGAGGACAGCGGGCACAGCATGGACTTCCGAGTCACATTCTGCTGCTGGCTGGCGGGTGACCTTGGGCAAGTCACTGTACTACTCTGTGCCTTGGTGTCCCCATCTGGGGCTAGTAGTTTCTCCTCCAAAGGGTTGTTGTGCAAATTAAATGAGATAGTGCATACACAGTTCATAGCACAGTGCCTGGTATTCAGTAGGTGCTCTTGCTATGCTGGCTGGTTCCCAGTCTCAGCTTCTACTCCTCAACAGAGACTTGCCAAGGCTGTAGGCTGCCTGGCCCCCTTGATCCTGGGTCGGTCACAATCAGAGACCAGGCCACTCCCTCCTCACTGGGGTGGCCGCTGGGATGTGGCACGCTTGCACTGGTGTTCCTCAGTTTTCTTGTGTTTTAGGCTTAGCTCCTCCTGATCTGGGGAAGAAGTTCTTTCTGCCTCAGCTTCAGAGTTTGCCGGCTCTGGAGAGTGTTGGCAACAGCCTTCTCAACGCCCTGGGGAGTCTCTCCACCTTCAGTTGGGGGGTGAGGGGGACAATTTGAGTGACTGAAGGTAGGCTGGGTTTCTGGCGCTGGTCGCTGCAGGGCTGCGGGCTTCGCTGACTGACCCTTGAAGGGCCCGAGGGTTTGGGGCCTGGCTTCCGGGCCATGCCAAGATATATGGGCAGCCCGGGCAGGCAACAGCTGGACGCGTCTTCAAATCAAAACTCTTTAAACGTGTGCTTAATGGAGAAGCTCTGTGTTGGGCGTGAGGAGGGAAAAGACGGAGGGCCCGACCGCTGGGACGGCCTCAGGATTGCCCCCTCACCTGGGAGCGGGCCCTGCCCAGCTGGCACACCCCACTTGGCCCACGCTCCTTGAAAGGCACTTAGTAACCACTTTATATTAGGCAGGCCCCTTGGGGAGGATGCCCAACCTTCCCTACCCCCATCACAGCCACTGGAAGAGTCTTAGCAGCTCATTCCTTCTAGTCGCTTGCAGCGTGCTTCCTGAGAGAAGTTCCCGTAAATAGGATTTTCTCCAGCCCCGTATGGTTCCAGGAGTGCTTCAGCGAAAAAAAAAAACCTTAACCACCAGGCCCAGGTGGCTGTCCAACCGGCACAGGCCATCCACCTGCACTCAGCTCCATCAGGTCCTGGCTGCCTCCGAGGTGACCGTGAACCTCCTTGCCAAGGGCTGGGCCACAGCCCTTTTACTAGGCTTGCTGTCCTCCAGGGGAGAGAGAAGAGGGAAGGCCAAGCAGACCTTGGACACTGGCTTCTTGCTTTGGTCAAGCAGAACACTTCTGCCTGAAATCTGTTTTGAGCCCTCACTGAGGAGCGTGCCTTTTTTTTTTTAATGCCTTTTCGTTGTTCGTTGTTCTGAGACTGTTCCGCCTTCTGCTGCAGAATGGAAACCGATGCCTAAGCCGCTCCTTGTCTGCCCAGCTCCAGTGCCTCTCTGGGGAAAGAGGGCTTTGCAAGGCAGCTCCCCAAACTCCTGTGCTGCCACTTCTCAACGCTGTTCCTTTCAGCGGTGTTTGCTGACACTTGGAATGTGGGATTCTTCAACATCTCAAAAAATGCAAAAGTTCTTCCCCAATTTGCAAAACATGATAAATGTGATATGCCCTGAACATGAAATGCTTCTGGGGAAAGACAGAGGGAATTGGAGGAAGATGGATTCAAAGGACAGTAGAGAGGCAGGTGTGCCACTCCCTGCTGTGTGACCTTTGGCAACCGCTTCCCGCCATGGCGGTCCCATCTATGCATTGGTCAGGTGGCTCTTCGAAGCTCTTCAAGCTTTGTGATTCTCATGAAAGTTGAGGACCTAGAGTCGTCCAGTTATCCAAGATTTCTGTATAACTTGATTGCCTGTGAAGTGCGCTGCCCTTAGGGGCCAGGTCTACTCCCCTCCTGTCGGGGGAGAGGGGCAGACATAGGCTTTCTGTGCTGTGTCTGAGGTGCCTGTGACCTTGGGTTGCAGTGTTGGGGTCCCGGCTGGGGCAAGGACACAGCGAGGCAGGCAGCAGCCGACTGCATCCCGTCTCTGGGGCTCCACTGCCTTTCTCCGGCTCACTCCTGGCTGACCATGGCAGGTGGAAGGCTGCTGCAGGTGGGCCTGCGTGCTCCCTCTTTCTGTAGAAGTAAGTGGCTGGCTTCCTCTCCTCTCCCAGCTTCCTTTTTCTCACCACTCCGTTCTTCCTCATCAGCATTCTGCCCCGTTTCTTGCTTCATCGTCTATCCCTGGAGGGAAACTACCTGTCTTCTTTCACCTGGGACAACTTCTGCTAAACTCCCTGCCATGGGGAACGCTGCCATGCTGCTAATCTAGAATAACTCACAGGTGGTCCTACCTGTGACTGTTAAGGCTAAGCTAATAGGGAGAGATAAATGCATATTGTGTTGGTTATTCAATTAAATATAGAAATAAATGCCTGCTCTGGGCCAGACACTAGTTTAGGTCCTTTATGGGGGCGGGCGGAGGGCTCTTGGCTGTACATTCATTGTCAGTGAACCTCCACGAGCTCCCACCACATGCACAGCGCTGGCCTGGGCAATGGACCTTTCTCGGGGTGCACCCTGAGCTCAGTGCTGGGAATGCATGGGTGAATCTGTCATATTCTTTCCTTGGGAAATTGCGGTCCAGCAGTGGAGACCGATATGCCAACAGACGGTTCAAAAATAAACATAGCGAGTGATATGGGAGGCGTGAGCTCTTACCGCTCTGTGACCTCAGGTGAGGCACCGAGGCTCTCTGAGACTCAAGATTTTCATTAGTAAAGTAGATGGATGAACCGGGTTCTCATGAGGATTAAACTCATGTAATGCGCTTAGCAAAGTGGCACACAAGAAGAACTCTGTGAATTATTATTATTATTAAAGTTATGTCTATATAGGAAGATTTATCTAGTGACCTTGTTTATTGAAGCTGAATGCTGCCGCTTTGAGCACATGTGACGACTGCTCCATGTCACTTCCTGGTAGCCACCTGCTGTATTCCTGGGACCAGGCAGGGAAACTGAGGCCTCCTGGGTGTGCTCTGGCTGTAAGACTTCTCCCAGGTGTGATACCAAGGTGCGTGCCACCTCGTCATCTCCAGTAGGGCGGCTAGAGATGGGGCCCTGGAGATGCCAGGGTCTATCTGAGCACCGTAGAAAGCAGCAGGGGCAGGTCCTGGAGTCAGGCAGCCCTGGCCCGAGTCGACAGCGAGCTAATTCCAGTTCTGTCTGGTTCCACAGAAACTGCACCCTTATGGCTCTCTCCAGCAGGAGATGGGGCCGGCCAACTCAACCAATGCTACCCAGGATAGAAGCTTTACCTCATCAGGACAGACTCTGATTGGCTGAGCAAACCCAAGGGCAGGACTCTGCTTCTGGCAACTTAACTCTTTCTTGGGCATCCCTTACCACACAGTAACCTCACCTCAACTGGACCCAAAACGGAGGACCAAGATGGTGGGCCTAGGGTCATCTGAAGGGAGTGGCCCCACGGGTGTGTGGACTGGCGTCAGAAGGACCACAGTGGTGTGAGAGGCCCTGTGGGCAGATGCAGACTGGCTCAGAAAGTCCCAAATGGAGAAGACCCAGAAGCTTATTCCCTACAAGGAAGAAGGAGGTGAAATAGCATCTGGGCTACCGGTGGTTCCAGTGCCTGCCTCAGGGGCAGCCGGAGAAGTTGGGAGAGGTCAGCCCTGATGGAGAACAATGCCAGGATCCGCTGCCGCCAGAAGATATCTCCACCCATTCACTCATTTTTCATCTGAACTCATGCGTTCATTCCTTCATTCATCAGATATTTTTAGGGCGTCTACTTTATGCCAGGTTCTGGGCTAGGAGCTGGAGATACTATGGAGAACGAGAGGGACATGGTCTCTGCGCTTATCAAGGTTTCAGTCTCAGTAGGGGAGAGAGCATTACATAAACACCAACACACACACACGGGGTTACACACTGTGATCATCTATGGAGGAAAAGAAAGGATTCCTTTAAGAGAGAATATTATTAGAGATTGCTGTGTGTGGGTGTGGGGTGGGAGAGGGGAAGAGCATAACCTTTAAGCCAAGGAAGGAGTTAGCCAGTCAAGGACTTTGGAAAGGATTTTCCAGACAGATGGAGCAGCCTGCGAAGAGTACCTGAGCTAGCAAGGAGCAGGATGTGCTGGAGGAACGGAGCCCAGGCCGCTGGAGCTGGAGCTTAGTGAGGGGGAAGACCAAGCAGGTGGGGGCCAGATGGTACAGGGCTTTGGTGGTTAATGTATTGACTGCATTTGAGACACAGTGGGAAGCCATTGAAGGCTTTTGAGAAAGGGAGTCACAGACTCTCAGGGACATTTCTAGACGATGAGAGAACCCAAGGAGGGGCCCAAGTGGGTGTGAGGAGATCAGTTTTTTTTTTGAGGGGGGGGTCCCTTCAGTCCTCCAGGTGATGGGTGATGGTGGCCCATCCTGGATGATGTCTGGGGAGGCGAGTATGTGAATGCCCAGACCCTCGGGTAGGGGAGGCTCTGCGATGAGAAGAGAGAGTTTCCTGTCCCTCCACTGCTCTCACCCTCATCCTCCACTGTGTCTCACTCTTTCAGCGGATGCACGTAAGGATGGGGCCTTCCTCACAGAGCCCCCTCCTGGTGAGGCCTGGGTAGGGACCAGTGCTGAGTTCTGAGAATGTCCCTGGGAGTTGGGAGTTATGGGTGCTTCAGCTGGCCAAGGTGGTCAAGTTCACAGCCCCCCAGCCTCAGCAGGGGTGGCCTGTGCTGTCCCTCCATCCTGTGAACACAGCCCTCTGGAAACTGACTGGGTTTGCTTTCTGCAGAGCTCCTGAGGGTCGGGGACTGGGGCTAAGTGAGGCTCAGCACACTTAGAGGAGGCCGTCCTGCCATGAGGCTGACAAAGGCCTACGTGGGGGCAGCGATTAGAGCGCAGCCTGCTCACTGCTGCTGCATCTTCTGGTGCAGCCCAGCGTTGGGCAGCTTTCACACCCTTCTCTAACTGCGCAGACATAGCTCACACACAAAGGGTATGTGTAGGATCAGGGCCATTTGCATAGAAAGGGGGTCAGAGAGGCTGGACTTCAGTTTAGAGAAGTCCCCTTGGAGCTTGGACACTCCGTGTTGTGTCTTTTAAGAGCTTCTCCGTGTCTTTAGAGAGGGGTCTTGTGCCCTGGTGAGTTTGCTCAGCTGCTTTGGCTACTTGACCCCTAACAAGGGTGGCCCAGAAGAGAATTTGCCCCTTACCTCCCACGGATCACCCCTCCTCCCAGCCTAGGAAAGATCAGACACGTCGCATCAGTAATCTAACAGGGGATCAGCCCAGTGTCCTGCCCAGCAGGGGAATAGCCTGGGCCTGAAGTGGGACAAGTGATCTGCAGTGTCTATCAGCCGAGACTCCGCCTGCAGGGTTAATTCTGAGCGGCTGAGCAGCTGAGTCTGCACAGACACAAGCTGCACCATGACTTCATTTGATTCCCTTTTACAAAATGACATTAAGGGGAGTGTGAGGCGCAGGAGAATTGCCTGTCTGGGAAGACAGCGAGCTTTTCTCTCCCGGACCTGGGGACCTACCTCTGTCCACCAGACAGGTGCAGAGGACGGGGGAGCTCTGGCAGCAGGGAAACGGAGACTCGGAACACGGCACTTAGCCCTGGGGACGGCACTTTCCTCTGGCTTGTCCCAACAAGCTGCTGAGTGGAGCGGAAGCTCCCGTCAGGGTCCTAGACCTGGCTGGCTGCTGGGAAAGCAGACATCAGCTCCTGGAGGGCCCTGGACCCATCTTCCCAGTGACTGTTGTGAGCCACAGCGCCATTGCTGCTCTGCCTCTCAAATCGATGAGACAATTAATTTGGCTCCACGGGCTCGAGAAGATGAAATATGACCGGGTGGCCACTGCTCCTCAGAGGCCCAGTCCATCCCAGACGTCCAGGATGATGAACGCATCGAAATCGCATTTGAGAGTCATAATCACGGGAAACATGGCCGAGCCCCTCCCTCCACATAAATCACGCTAAGAAGCTCACACAATGGTCTCTTTCCTGATGGGCCAATTGTCTTGGTGTGTGTCTCGGGGCGAGCTGGGAGCATGGGAGCACAACCATTTATTGTTGAAAAGGCCATCTGTGCGATTTGAATACAAAGTGATTCTTTAAGTTCCCCACACATCCTTTGATCCCATTTTTTTGTTTTCTTATTGTCTCAGGCTCTGGGTCTGTTGAAACTCCCAGTCTCTCCTGGAAGCAGTCATGCTCTGGTCTCTGCCGCCTGGGTCCTTTGGCCCTTTGGGAGTTGGAACCTGTCGGAAATAATGATGACATTTATTTATGTATGCCTTTTTTTTTTTCTTCTTCTTTAGTTTAAATTCTTTTTTCATAAATTCTGCCACCAAAGCCTGAATTTCTCATACACGGCACCAAGAGCGTTCTGCAGATTGAAGGTGTGGGCAATTTCATGATGTGGGAGGGCTGCCCACAGCGAGAGCATGGGCTTCAGAGATGGCAACTGGGATCCCCAGGCATTATCTCCCTTAGGCCTCCCAGCAGCCTTGTTCTATGGATGGAAGGAACTAAGACTCAGAGAAGTTAAGTGATTTATCCAAGGTCACATAACTGGTAAGAGACCGAGCTAGTCCTCAAGCCAAGGCCTTGCAACCTAATCCATTGCTCTTTCCAAATGAAAGGTTTGCCTCTTAGGAGTGGAAGTAAGAGAAATCAATCATCTCCTCCAGGAAGAGCCAGGAGGAAGATATCCTGCATGCAGAAATCATGGCCCTTTAAGCTCTAGAGGGGATGCTTTAGGACTAATAAAAATGAGTTGCCTTATTCTCTACACAGTGGAGAATAAACTTTGAGTTCATATGGCCCAGAGGTGGCCCAGGCTGACAAGATGAATAGCTTCACACAAGATTTAAGAGGTCTGATGTGAAAGACAAGGTGGACGTCCTGAAGACAGGCTCTCAGCAGCACTGGGATGGTGGGGTTACCCCATCCCCCTTTTGAGTCTGGCATTCAAGAGGACCAGCAGCACAGTCTTGGGGTACCTGGCCGCAATGAACAGCGGCCGAAGGCAGAAAGGGATGGCTCAGGTTCAGGCCCAGATGCACTGAGCATGAGTACAGGAAGGAGGCCTTTGACCTCTGCCCTGTTGAGGGTGAGGAGAGAGCCTACTCCAGGTTTTGGGCCCAGATTTTGCCAGTTGACTGACTTGGAATCTCAACCCTAAGTAACTGGGTGTCAAATGGACTAGATTTCAGATATTCACCACCCGCCGCCACCCCCCCCAACCCACCCACCCCCGCCAAAAACCTGTTTTCCAGTCTCTCCAGCTCTCCGCCCTCCCCTCCTCGCTGCCCGTCTGGCTGCGGAGAGACTGCCTTCTTCCCACCTTCCTCTTGGCCTCAGTCATCTTGCTATCTTTTTTTGTTCTTAAGGAAGATAGCACAACCTTACCCTCTATCTTGTCTTGACCTCATCTTTCTTCAAGCCTTTCTCTGAATAGGGCCACTGTCCTCCAGACTGTTCCCAGATCCTTGGTTTAAGAGTAGAATAATAACAGTAGGTAATTTATAAGTGAGCACTTAGGCCATGAACCTGGAGCAATGCCAGGCTCTTCACCTACATTGTCTCTTTAATCCTCACTACAGCTTCATGAGGTTCTTTGTGGTCCTTACACATTTACTCTCATTATACCCAATTGATATAGGTAAGGACGCTGAGTCTTTGAGAAGAAACTTGCCCAAGGTCACACAGCCAGTGGGTGGCTTGCATTGGATCCTGGGTGCCCAGCTCCAGAGCACTGGCTTTGGATTGCTCTGCTCTCCTACTTTTCAGCAGTCACGGACCATCCAAGCTGGGAGGGGTGGGGAAGCTGAGCAGTCGCACTTCCCGCTCCAAGACCATCGTGGGAGGCCATGGTCCCAGCCTGCTTCTTAAGGCTCGCCCTCTGCCCTCCTGCTTTGTGCCCACAGCTCGGCCGTATTGGATTATTTTCCTTCTCTGAATTCCCCACGCGTGTTCGTGTTTAGGCTGTTTCTTCTGCCTGATGCCGCCTGCCCTCCTCTGCTGTTCCTGACACATACAGCCCTCAGCCTTCAAGCCTCCCCTGAGACACCTTTCTCAGACGTGCATCCGAAGTCACCGCTTCCCCCTCTGTATTCCACAGTACTTTGTTCATCTTTAGCACAGTGAGTTAGGCAGATATGTCTCACCTGCAAGACCATGAGCTCCTTGGGAGCCAGTGGAGGTCAAAGTTTATTTCTTGCTGATTCTATTACTGCCTGGTCCTTGGTAGGTGCTCAGGAGATGTTGTAGAATTGGATTGGGCCATACAGTTCAAGCCTCTTACGTTTTGGAATCTAGACGAGGAAACTGAGGCTCAAAAAGGGGAAGTGACCTGGCCAGGTTCATGGGACAAGGTAGTGGCAGAGCCAGGACTAGAACTCGGGTCTCCTGCCTTTCTTGGCTCAGAGCTTTTTCCATTGCACCTCGGCTTTGTAAGACCAGAGCCTGGATCCCCACTTGATCTTAAGCAATCTAATCTGGCCAGACTCACTTCAGGGTTATAGATGCCACCATATCCACACTGACTTCTGGGCATCCTCAGAGGGAAGGAGACCCTTCTGAGACCCAGAACTGCTCCTATGGTTCTCTTCCCTGGGTTTGTGGAGCTCCCTTCTCACTGAGCTCCTTGCCTTCAGAGAAAACCAGAGTAGGATTCTGAAGATCTTGGTTCAAATACTGATTTTGCTTGTAATTCACTGAGTGACTTTGGGCAAATTACTTCACTTCTCTGATCATTTGTTTCTTTACCAAGAAAAATGAGGGAGTTGAATTTAGGTGGTCTCCAGGAGTCATCTTCAAAGCCTCAGGACTCTAATAACAGGTTAAAAGAAAAAAGAAATCAGACATTTTGGTCCTCACATTGAAACAAGAGTGTATGTATATATGCAAATGTTGTACGTGGTTAATATTCATCATGTACTTGAGACAAATAAGTATACGTATGAACCTTATACAGGAAGGGGTCCTCATCACAGGCACTCAGATTGTAAGCACAGCCCTGCTTCCTCCCACCCAAATGTGCCTCCTTCGGGCTCCCCGCCCAGGGAAAGTGGCAAGGAGCTTTCAAACCTAGAATCTTCCCCTGGCCCTTCTTTTTTCCTGCTCACTGGACTCTTGTTTTAACTTCACATATACAGGTATACACATAGGTTCTTTAATCGGATTCCTGGTCTATGGCATAAAGCTAACTTTCAGTGGAAGTAGTGAGAATCTGTGTGCAGTGCCTTTAGTTTCCAGTGTGGTCAGAAGTCTCCTTCAGACTCTTCCCCAGAAGTTGCCACAGACTTTTTCATTGCCTTTAATGTATATCTTCTTTTGCTCAAACACTACTCAGGGTAAATTTTCTAAAACAGTGTCTTTTAAACGTTAGTCGTTTTCCATTTTGGTTAAATTCTACCACAATATAGGTTTCTGCTGTTTCTCCTCGTGGGAGAAAATTAAGTGTTCAGTAGGCTAGCCTAGGAAGCTGACCACCATTTATAACACAATTTTCAATGGGAAAATGCATTCTGAGACCCATCATCAACTCTCAGATGATTTGGGAATACAGCTCAACACACACCACAAAGCAGAGGATATAATATTTGTTTCACGAGTGACTAGAATTTTGATAGAACCACAGAATCTTTGAGTGTGGAACTGAAAAGCCTCCTCCCTCCCTCACCAGGATCAATCGATTAACAAGCTGATTTGTAGAAACCAAGACCAAGAGAGGGGCAAGAACTTGGCCAGGGGCACATAGTTGGTGCCAGAGCTGGAACTAGGACCCACCGCTCAGCGCTCCCCTTCAGCGGCCTTTGAAGAGTCTGCCAGGTTGGGGACGGGGCGGGGCACAGACTGTCCTAGAGACGCTTGTCATCTCACTCGGCTGTGTTGTCATTAGGAAAAGTAAGTCATCACTTTGGGCTGTCTAATGGAAATAGTGAGAAATAGCCCTGCTAATGGTGTGGGGAGAGGTTGTCTAGTCGGCTGGCTTGTCTATAAATTCCCCACGCGTTCTTGCTGGAGCAGAATGAATGGGGCTGCTGTGTTTTACCTGGAGCTCTGAGCAGGGCAGGGCTGGCGGAGGCGCTCCCAGTTCTAAAAATAGTAGTGGGATTGGAGCTGAGGGGAAGAGGAAGGGGCTCCTTCGGGAGCTGGGTGGGACGCCTCACCCCCTTCCTCTTCCTGCCGGGCCCTCTGTGAGGAAGTGCAGTGGATTCAGAGAATTTAGACCTGGGAGGGTCCTGGAGCCACCAGCCGTCACGGCCCCTCCTCACACAGAAGAGGAGACCCTGGAGGCCCGCAGTGGGGAAAGGCCAGCCGTCCCCAGCCCAGGGGGAAGGTCCCAGATGGCAGGCTGTTTTCCTCCTGCTTTTAGCAAGGCGGCAGCAGGCCGGGCAAGGTTTTCTCTCCCTGCCACTGGGAGCGCACAGGGCCTGGGAACTCCTGGGGCCGGATGTGGTTAGGCTTCCTGAATGTCGCCCAGCAGGCGAGGAGTCCCTGGCTAGTCTGCCCTGAGCCCTGACCTCAGCCAACTGGCCTGCCAGCGCCACGCCTTCCCCTTGCCGTTGTCCCCACCCTTGCTGATTTGTCCTTCTGTCGCCCCCTAGACTGTGTGCAGGGAGGGAGGACCAGGGCCCGTATAGAACCAGCCTGCAGGACAGAGGGCCTAGTGGCTTGGGACCTTTCTCTGCCCATCCCCGGGAACAAGCAGGGGCAGCTAAGGTAGAGGCAGGGGCCTGATTCAGAGGTAGGCAGGCCAGGGGTCAAATCCCAGCTCTGCTTCTCACTAGCTGTGGGATTACTGGCACGTTACCTAGCCTCTGTCAAATGAGACAAGGACATCTCTCTCACAGGGTTCTCCTCAGGAGTAAGGGGAATGGTCTGTGCAAAGTGCCTGGTATGTAGTAGGTACAGACAGCCCTCCGTATCTGCGGGTTCTGCTTCCACAGATTTAACCAACCGCAGATAGGAAAAAAACCCCAAAAACATTCCAGAAAGTTCCAAAAAGCAAAACTTGAATTTGCTGAGCTGGTGACTATTTACATAGTATTTCCGTCGTACAACTATTTACATGGCATTTACATTGTATTAGTATTATAGGTAATCTAGAGAT